ATGGAATAAGTAAATATGAAGTGTAAAATAAAGATAGAGGAGAATTAAATACTTTCGAATGTTAAAATAAGTAAATGAAAAGAAGGTTAGAAGGATTTGCTGGAGATACGATTTAAACTAGAATACAAAGCAGAGAGGTGAGAGGAAGTCACGGAAATAAGTAAATGGGAAAACGGTTTTAAAGGTTTAATTTGATTTTTTGTTACCTTTTTATGGTGATTTTCTGTCTTTTGTATTTTTCTTTTGTATTGTTTGTTTTTTGTATAAGATGTATGTGATTTGTTTTTCTTTTTCTATTTTTTTCTTTTTCTGTAATTTCTAAAATTGGAATAAATATTTATAAAAAAAAAAAGTGCCCCCTGATGGTCTCTGTCTAACATCACTTCCCCTTCTCACAAGTAGTCTTAACAGTGGCAGGAGCAACAAGGGGGCCGGTTAGGCAAAAGAGTGGACAAAAGTGGGCTGCAATCTGCATCCTATGTGCATGTGGCAATACAGACGTAAAAGACTGTAATTAAAACAATAACAATATGTATTAGGTAGAAGAGGTAAAGGACCCCTGACAGTTAAATCCAGTCACAAACGACTCTGGGGTTGTGGCACTCATCTCGCTTTACTGGCCGAGGGAGCTGACGTTTGTCCGCAGACAGTTTTTCCGGGTCATGTGGCCAGCATGCCTAAGCTGCTTCTGGCGAAACCAGAGCAGCGCACGGAAACGCCGTTTACCTTCCCGCCAGAGCGGTACCTATTTATCTACTTGCACTTTGATGTGCTTTCGAACTGCTAGGTTGGCAGGAGCAGGGACCGAGCGATGGGAGCTCACCCCGTCACGGGGATTTGAACCACTGACCTTCTGATCGGCAAGCCCTAGGCTCTGTGGTTTAGACCAAAGCGCCACCCGTGTCCTAATATATTAGGTAATTGTCTGTTAAAGCTCTTTTTATGATTCCTTATCTTTCAACCTGGCTTCGATGGGATAGCGCTCAAATAGAGGACCATCCTTCATAAAGTTGGGACAGTTTGTTGGTCAACTTTTCTTAAACTAGCACAGGGACAAGCAAAGGAGGACACCTTCCCCCTGGTTTGGTTCCTCTTTATCGCATACACTGCGCAAAAGGATAATGACCTATCCTCCCCCAACAGCATGCAAATCAATATGACTAACCTGACCCAATAACCTACTGCACACAAACAAACAAACAAACAAACAAACAATCCATACTGCAACCAACTCAACGCAACCAACTGATCTTGGGACCCCTTAACCTCTGTATGTATATACAGTGGTACCTCGGTTAAGTACTTAATTCATTCCAGAGGTCCGTTCTTAACCTGAAACTGTTCTTAACCTGAAGCACCTCTTTAGCTAATGGGGCCTCCTGCTGCCGCTGCGCCACTGCTGCATGATTTCTGTTCTTATCCTGAAGCAAAGTTCTTAACCTGAAGCACTATTTCTGGGTTAGTGGAGTGTGTAACCTGAAGCGTATGTAACCTGAAGCGTATGTAACCTGAGATACCACTGTAATGTAAATATAGGTAAAGGACCACTGGACAGTTAGGTCCACTCAAAGGCGACTATGGGGTTGAGGCGCTCATCTCGCTTTTCAGGCTGTGGGAGCTGGCGTTTGTCCACAGACAGCTTTCCAGGTCATGGGCAGCATGACTAAACCACTTCTGGTGCAACGGAACACTGTGATGGAAACCAGAGCACATGAAAATGCACACCCACACCCCTGCTATCCATATGATGCTGACACAAACCCTACACTAACACTATGCATCAGAACAAAAGAACAACACTCCCCATCTCTCTCTCTCTCTCTCTCTCTCTCTCTCTCTCTCTCTCTCTCTTTCTTTCACCTCCCCTCCTCCCTTTTCCCCCAGTCGCAAGATGCCTATGACAAAAATGTCTCTCACTACATGTAAATGAACTGTGAAAAAGACTTTATGAATTGAAAGTGGAGACGAAAAATGTACTTTCCCCCATTTATCTGCAGCACAAGTACGTCTTTTTTATTTTTAATTAGTTTTTATTAAAGTGGGACAGTTGGCCACCCCGAGGAGCTGGCAGCTGAAAGTGGCCATTTATGAAATGCCAATAAAGAGTACAGTGGGGGTGGGGTGGGGAGATAATAGAGTTTTGCATAAAGAATACATAGGCTAATTTATATGTACAAGATGCAAATTTAGAAATACTGACTGCAGTTTAAATAGAAATCCAACACGCTTTGCCATGGTTATGCCCAGATGACCCCTCCTTTCTCTCTACCCTGCATGGCCAACTGCCCTGTGGGCAGGATCCTGACAACTTGTAATTTGCCATTGTTTATTATGAATTCCTTCATGCATCTTGATGTAAGCCACAATGGAAAAAAATTGTATCCTGAACTGTGGGGTGGTGGTGATGCTGATCAAGGGAGTTTTTATTTTATTTACTTGTTTGTTCAGTTTCCTCTCTGAGCAATAAACAGCCATAACTGCAGCACAGATCTTGCTTTCCCAAATGCTCATAACTAAAAAATGTATATGCACATAGTTTTATTGTAAATTAAAATCACTATTACTAAGTCCATACGTTGTTATTTATTTATATCCCACTGGTAAACGCATGCATATATATATAATAATAATAATAATAATAATAATAATAATAATAAATTTTATTTATATCCCGCCCTCCCCAGCCGAAGCCGGGCTCAGGGCGGCTAACAACAATAAAACAGTACAAAAGTACAGCATAAACAACAGTCTAAAATCATTCGTTATAAAATTAATTAATTCAAGCCACTGGCAACCATTGGGCCAGAGCTCCGCGAAGATTGCCGAGGGAGGGAGTCAGGCTGTGCCCTGGCCAAAGGCCTGGTGGAACAGCTCTGTCTTGCAGGCCCTGCGGAAAGATGTCAAGTCCCGCAGGGCCCTGGTCTCTTGTGACAGAGTGTTCCACCAGATTGGAGCCACAGCCGAAAAGCCCTGGCTCTAGTTGAGGCCAGCCCTAACTTCTCTGGGGCCTGGGACCTTCAAGATGTTTTTATTCGAAGACCGTAAGTTTCTCTGTGGGGCATACCAGGAGAGGCGGTCCCGTAGGTACGAGGGTCCTAGGCCGTATAGGGCTTTAAAGGTTAAAACCAGCACCTTAAACCTGATCCTGTACTCCACCGGGAGCCAGTGCAGCTGGTATAGCACTGGGTGAATGTGATCTCGCAGCGAAGACCTCGTAAGGAGTCTCGCTGCAGCATTCTGCACCCGCTGGAGTTTCTGGGTCAGTCTCAGGGCAGCCCCACGTAGAGCGAGTTACAATAATCCAGTCTGGAGGTGACCGTCGCATGGATCACAGTGGCTAGGTCAGGGCGAGAGAGGTAAGGAGCCAACTGCTTAGCTTGGCGGAGATGGAAAAATGCCGCCTTTGTTATAGCTGCAATCTGCGCCTCCATGGAAAGGGAGGTGTCGAAGATTACACCCAAACTCTTAACGGACGGTGCTGGCACTAAATGCGCCCCGCAAGAGATGGGAGTTGCCCCCAATCCCATATCGCCCCGTCCCAGCCACAGGACCTCTGTCTTCGAAGGATTTAGCTTCAACCGGCTCCCACGAAACCATCCAGCCACAGCTTCCAAACATCTAGTCAGTGTGTCTGGGGCCGAGTCAGGATGGCCATCCATCAACAGATAGAGTTGGGTGTCATCGGCATACTGATGGCAACCCAGCCCAAAACTCCGGACAAGCTGGGCGGGCGCATAAAGATGTTGAAAAGCATCGGGAGAGTATCGCACCCTGAGGTACTCCACACACCAAGGAGTGGCGCGATGACAATTCCCCCCCAAGCGCCACCCTCTGTCCCCGACCAGAGAGAAACGAGCGCAGCCATTGAAGGACTGTGCCCTGGATCCCCACGTCGGCAAGGCGGTGGTCTAGAAGTTCGTGATCGACCATGTCGAAAGCTGCTGACAGATCTAGAAGAATCAGCAGCCCCGACCCGCCTCGATCCAGCTGTCTACGAAGATCATCTGTTAGGGCAACCAGAGCCGTCTCGGTCCCATGACCAGTGCGGAAGCCGGACTGGAATGGATCCAGAGCCGATGTTTCATCCAGAAAACCACCAAGCTGTTCAGCAACCGCTCTCTCAATCACCTTACCCAGGAACGGAAGATTCGAAACCGGGCGGTAATTGGATAGATCTAAAGGATCTAATGATGTTTTCTTTAAGAGCGGGCGCACCACTGCCTCCTTCAGTTCCCCTGGGAATGTCCCCGTGCCAAGGGACAAATTGATGATATCCCCCAGGAGGGCCCGCCCCTCGTCTGGACACGCTCTAATCAGCCAGGACGGGCACGGGTCGAGAGGACAAGTGGTGGGCTTTCCAGCTCAGAGGAGTCTGTCCACATCGGCTGTCCACATATATGCGCAAATAGTTTAAAATTGTATCTCAGCCAGTGATTTCAACATTGCCAGAATAAGCAGGAATGTTTTTAAAGTCATTGTGATAGTCAATAATGAGAGAGACATGCTCCTCACCATGGAGGGCAGCCTACAATTGGTGAACTGCCGCCAAAAAGGCCCCATCCTTTGTCAACACCAACCAGGCAGCACCACCAAGATGGCTGATAGATCTGATTGCCCTTATAATTAAAACATCCCTCCAAAAGCATGTATGCATCCCTGGAGGGCAAAATCCTAATATTCCTGCATTAGCATAGGTTACATGTGTATCATGTATCAGTAAAACAGTGTTGATGCCCTAATCCTAGAGCAGGAACCCTTTTATAGCCAGAGGGCCACATTCCTTTCTGGATGACCTTCTGGGGGCCAACTGACAGTGGTAGGTAGCCCCGGAGGCAAAAGCTGGCAGAGAAATGAATGTGGATTTTACTTTACCTACCTGTGCAGTAGGCTAGATCCTACATACACTCACACACCTCTCTCTGCCTTCCTTGTCCAGCGAAGCAAGCTGCATGATCAGTTCAAGGGCACAGTCCAACCAGGCAAAAACCCTCCAGGAGGGTTGCCCAACGTGGGGCTCAAACCCACAGCCCTGAGATTAAGAGTCTCACGCTCTGCCAACTGAGCTATCCCAGGGATGGATGATTCTCATGTACACCTATCAGAGTTCTCCCTGCCCTTTTGAACCTGGGTCTTCCCTGGAATTGTACATAACAGCTTCTTCCACTCACCTCCAGTAGTCTTGACTAGTGTCCCCAACTCCTGACTGTGCTCCTTTCTTTTCTGTGTTATTCTTACAGTAGTCACTGAGCAACTTTATCTTATTTCCAGCAACCTCCGACTGTGTTGCTGTTCTATCACTGTGAATTGCTTCTGAACCTATGTTCTGTTTATCATTGCTTAATTCCAACATGGCTTCCTGCCTCACCTTGACACCCCTCCCTGCACACACACTGCTTCCCTGCCTCTACTGTTCCTGCTTTCTGCTTATTCACTTGGATTTTGTCCCTTCTGCTGCAAAGCCTTACACCCATGCTCCTTCAGTGAGTTTCATCAGTCCCACAAAAGGCAGAGAGGAGGGATGGTGAATGGAGCTGTCAAGGTCATCTCTTCTTTAAGAGCCACCTGACCCACTGTCCCTTCAAGGTATGAAGAAGACTAGCAGTGAGAGCCAGCAACAGCAGCATCTCTGGAGAAACATCTACCAGGGCATGTTGCCATTTTTCAAGTACTCAACTTTGAGGGATGTCTTAATAAGACCCCCAGAGTCTTGAGGCCTGGAGCATAGTAGCTTAAGCCTGCTTTATATTAGGGGTGCCACTGTCTGCATCCCCTGTCACAACTAGTATTAACAATTCAGCCGACACACATACCACCAAACATTATTGTTCCAAAGGCTGTGAGAGCATATTACACTTCTTGCGGGTGCCGTCTGCTGCCCTGACATTAACGTAAGAGTTTGATCATCCTCATCCTCATCAGAAGTAAAGAGTAAAAATAAACATGCGCAATAATGTTCTCTTTGTAAAGAATCAAGGCACCAGAGAGGATGCAAGGAATGCTTATCTCCAGTTATTTTGCAGGTGGGACAAACCTATTTTGCAATCTCTCTCTCTTGTAATCTCTATGATGCACCCACATAACAGTTTTGAGGAGAGAGGCATTTGGTGCACATCAAGCACTTACAGTCCCTACAGGCCTGGACCTTCATTTCATCCCAGCTCCCAGCCAACTTCATGGGCAGTGATGACCACAAGCTGACATTTTGCAAAACTGAAGTTACATTACGACCCTTCCCAAAATGGTTTTGGGAGAAATCCTTACAGTTTAGTATGGAAATGCTAACGGTGTGGCGAGTGGGATCTGATTGGAAGGCTGGGTCCTGAGCTCCCCCCAACACCCCATGTGCCACTTTGACATGTGGGTAGGGCTGCCCCACTGCTAATCACCTTTCTTCCTTTTCAGCCTGGGTGGAACTATGCTGCTTTGCTAGGGAAGGGTTGGCTGCACTCAGGAACTCTCACCTGGAGCTCCCAAGTGGAACCAATCTGACCAGGTCTTGCATTGGGTGCCTGTTGGGTTGAAATAAGTGACAGACGAATGGCAAGGTGTCATCCGGGAGGCATCTCTCGAGCATGTGCTCGGGAAGTCCCTTTTATTGAATATTACAGCATTTCCACATATGTGCTTGTTGCTGATTGGTTAACATGAATACAATGCAAGGGCATTAATCATGAAGGTTGGGAAAGGGAAGACATGGTTACTAGTGATTGATATTGCATGACTTGAAAGAACATAACAATCGCAGTCCGTAGATGTGGTCAACAATGCATTAAGAACAGGTCAGGGTGTGATGTTTCATGAACTCAATGTGAACTGTTCAGAACATTCTCAGACTCATGTGCAGAGGCAAAAACTTCCCAGCAGGTGCCTAATGTAAAATATGCCAAATACAAGTCTACCTGCCAAAGAACAATGGAGAGTACACTTTAAGGCACCTGATTGTTTCTTTGCATCATACCTGATGTCACATATGATGTCAGATGTGGGGCAAATTGGCATGGCTGGGAGAAAACTGCTTCATGGGCCATATTAGGACCCATGTTGGTCCTAATTAGGTCCTCAAATGGGACAATCCCCACCACTGCTAACTTTAGAGCAAGTCTGAGTCCCTTATTCAACCCGCTCCTCCCCCCCCCCCCCCGTAAGACATATTAGTATTAAAAGATAGTTAGCTAAAGGTATATTTGACAGATTATGGGTAGGATTTTACCAACTATTGGATGCTGCCTCTGCCTCCAGGCAAGTACATTTCAGGGACTCTTCTGGTTGGCTGGCCTCTCACTTCCCCTGAGTTCTGCATGCAGCTGCTCAGCAACAAGACTATGACAGAAACACCAGTAGCCTTTGTGTTGTGAAATAGTCTGATTCAGACCAGGCGTGGCAGGCACTTGAGGAAATGGACTCTGAATGGGAAAGGGAGGGGATGACAGCAGTGCAAAACCTTTTGACAGGCCTCCCCCCCCCGATGCACCAGGATCTGCTGATGAGGCAGGTGTTCCAGAGGCTGCCTCTCCTTCACCTGTGAAGAACAGGGATCCATTGGAGACTGGGGAGGCCATATCCCTGCCAGAGGGTGAGGAAGACTCTGCTGTGACAGAGTGGCAAGATTCAGAGTGGAAGGATGGCTGTGGGAGAGGCAGCACAGTGAAAGGAAGAGGCAGCTTGTTCCTCTTAGGCAGAACACCTGTATTCAGACCAAGAATTTCTGCAGAGAAAGTGATTCTCATCAGTAACTGGGCATTCACCGCCTCTGCTTGGCAGGTAGGCAGGGAAACTCATTAGAACAACCTCACTGCTCCTGTGCAGTCTTGGAAGCCTTGTTACTGATCTTGGGCACCTGAACATAGGAACTCTTTATTGATTGTTGTGCTCCCTTTGCTTTTTAAGAGCATCCATACTATATCCTGCTCTTTCCACAACACTGAGTTTGTACCATGAGTCTGCTCTAATAAATATCCACTTCTTTACTTACAAGAAAGTACCCCAGTTCTCATTTTGAAGCTGGAGCCAGGACATGTTGACTGATGTGGGAGAGGGGAAGGATTGTCTATGGATAGCTCTCACAGGACCAGGGACATTGTCAAAGCATTGGTCAGTGTTGCCTATACAGTCAGTGGCTCTGCAATGTTTTAGATGGGGGTCATTCACACAACCCTGCCAGAGTTCAAACCTGGGACATATATAGGCAAAATGTGTGCCCTACTCACCGACGAACAATGCAGTATTTCATCCTTTTTTGAATTCATGATTCTCATGTTAAACAGCGCAAAGCGGTGTGAGGAGTTTGCACGTCTATCATGCTCTATATCGAACAAACAAACCACCTTGTTCAATTCCTCCTTTTCCAGCCAATTGAAAATCTACCCAGCATTTTAACTAAGTGTTGTTTTCTCAGTGGTAAATCAAACTAGACCTTGAGCAAAAGGCAGAGATGGCATCTGTCTTGATTTTAGAGTGGCAAAAGGGAGATATATTTAGGGCAGTATAACGGAAGATTCAGTTGTAACTCTGGAGACAAATAGCAGCACTGATTAACTGTGCTGCAAACTGGATGGATGTACTGTTCGCTTAAAGCTGGGGTGATATTTGGACACAGTGCATTTATGTTGCTGTGCAAATCTCTTCTGAAGCAGAACAATACCTTTATTGAACCCAGAGGTTCTTCTCTATGAGAGGCTTGTGTTGTTTGGCTTTAAATCCAGCATTTGACTGATCATCGTAATAGTGGGGGGCGGGGCGGTGACACAAAACTCATTCAGGCCATTTTGGCTACCAGCTTGGGTGGGAGTGCTGTTTTGGGTTATTTTGGGGCTGCTTATCTCCCTTGTCATGTGTGTGTCTTTCCCCCTCTGCTCTCTGTATAGCTTTGCATGGAAATTTATTTGCCAGAGTTGCTAAATAGGAGCCAACTTGCTCTGTATCAGAGCTGGGGAACTAGTGTCCCTATAGATGCTTCAGGACTGCAACTCCCATCAACCTTTACCTCTGGCAGTGCTGGCAAGGGCTGATGGGAGTTGTCATCCAACAATATTTGGCAGACCGCAGTCCCCCATCTCCACCCTTAAACTCATGTTTGTGTGCTGTACACCTCTGCTCCTGTCCATGTATAAATGAACAGTCTATAATTATTGGTGTTAACCACCTTGAGGATTGATTGGCAGAAAGATGACATAGGCATTGTCTAATTAATTAGTTAATTAGGAAAAGCAACCAAGACATTAGCTTTCCCTTGGCATATTTCTCTGAAGCACCAGGACAAAATAGCACAAACGGTTAGTGTTAATACTGTAAGACATCTAGACTGGGTGGAAGGGAGCAAGGGCAGGGGAGAGAGGTAAGAACACCTGTTGTCTTTGCTCCTTGGTAGTCCTGCTGACCCTCAGTGTTGTCATGTTGGAGCAGAACCATGTTATGAAGTGAGTAGAAGCTGTTGTGGACGGTTGCCATCCACTTAGACTGCTACAAAAACGGCAGTGCTGAGGCAAAGGGAACTTGGGATTGCAACGAGGGTACCCTCTGAAGTGTTTCTTTAGTGCTTCTTGTGTTTGCTGAAATGTCTGATGCTACCAAGGAATCTTTTGGTGGGAGAGAGCAACCAGGATGAGAGCCAAATTAATGTTGGGAACCCTACATCTTTTTGATTGAAGGGTGGCAATTCATTTTGTTTTTGATGCAATTTTGACAGTGAACAGTTTGTCTGTATCCTGGTGTTTTTGCCATAGATTTTCATTGGAAGGATACTGGAGTGATTGGGTGCATGAGTGCGAAGTGTTGCAAGTAGACTGGGGTGAGAGATATTGAATGGGTAGCATTGTGCGATTTGTGTGGATGTAAGACAAATTTTGGGTGTTATGTGTATGTGTTAGTTTTATATTATGAGCCATGGCAAGAGAGAAGCTGAAGAAGGAAGAGAAGCCTGACTCTTAAAATGCTTTCAAAATATGCTGCTAAGGTTTTGTTTTGAGTGGATTTTGTTTGCTTTATATTGCCTTGCCTTGTAGTTTTGTATTACATTGTAGTTGCTCTGTTTCCTTATTTGTTATA